GCTTAAATGTCGATTCATAATGTTTGAAGTTCTGTTTACCACTTGCTGGACGACAAAATGCGGTTATCTGCCAGAATTTGATTGTATTCAGCATGTACGAGTTATGTGTCTTTTTCTGGCCGAAAGTATTGATATTCATTTTTATTCAGCTATCAATATTTATTAATTTACAACTTAAAACCTTGCAAAATGACTAATCTCACTTGGAACGTGTGAAATACTATGGAGAATGGAGACCTACTGCAAGTATGTTCAAGTTAGTTCAGTAGTTCTTACTCACTACTCTCAGAAGATTTAACTAGGAATGAAAGAAAAATATTCTACACTTGGCGGATGATGCAATTTGAGGTTGATTGAAGTGAAATTTTTTTTTTTTTTTGAGCTAGACTGCTAATAAGTAAGCTTCTGAGTTAACACTTTAGCATTAATCAATAAGTAATAGCAGCTTCTGAGTTGACACTTTTAAATCATTTATTCCTTTGTGCAAGTGGAAAATCATGCTATATTTTATTTAGAATCTCAATCTTCATTGTTCGGCTCCTTTATCTCCTTCTAGAACTGAACTGAATTAAATAATATAGTTCGAGTTGATTGACTTTTTATGAAGCTTGAAGATGTTTAATTGAGATTCTTGTCGAATATAGAATTTTTTGCATTGTGGTGAGGCGTATTAGTCAGCCTATGTTGTAGTTCTGGGATCAACCTATCCTGAAAGGTAAGATTTTCGACATTATTAGAAGGAATCTAATTTATTTATACGTAGAGGTGCTAATTGAACTTATAGTTAATATGCATGGTTCTGCTTGTTTATTTTGTAGCGAACATATGGAGACCTTCCTGTTTACATCCGAGTCTGTGAATGAGGGCCACCCTGACAAGTTGTGTGACCAGATCTCCGACGCTGTTCTTGATGCCTGCCTTGCTCAGGATCGTGATAACAAAGTTGCTTGTGAGACATGCACCAAAACAAACATGGTCATGGTCTTTGGAGAGATCACCACCAAGGCTGACGTAGACTATGAGAAGATTGTCCGTGATACTTGTTGTGCCATTGGATTTGTCTCTGATGATGTTGGCCTGGATGCTGACAATTGCAAGGTCCTGGTCAACATTGAGCAGCAAAGCCCAGATATTGCCCAGGGTGTTCATGGCCACTTCACAAAGAGACCAGAGGAGATTGGTGCTGGCGACCAAGGTCACATGTTTAGATATGCCATGTATGAGACACCTGAGTTGATGCCTCTTAGCCATGTCCTTGCTACCTAGCTTGGGGCTCGGCTCACTGCAGTTCGTAAGAATGGTACCTGCCCTTGGCTAAGGCCTGATGGTAAGACACAAGTCCCTGTTGAATACTACAATGACAATGGTGCCATGGTTCCTGTTCGCGTTCACACAGTCCTCATCCCTACCCAGCATGATGAGACTGTCACTAATGATGAGATTGCTGCTGACCTTAAGGAGCATGTTATTAAGCCAGTTATCCCTGAGAAGTACCTTGATGAGAAGACCATTTTCCATCTCAATCCATCAGGCCGTTTTGTTATTGGTGGTCCCCATGGTGATGCTGGTCTCACTGGCCGTAAGATCATCATTGACACGTATGGTGGCTGGGGAGCCCATGGTGGTGGTGCTTTCTCTGGAAAGGACCCAACCAAGGTGGACAGAAGTGATGCCTACATAGTTAGACAGGCTGCCAAGAGCATTGTGGCAAATGGCCTCGCCAGGAGGTGCACTGTGCAGGTCTCATATGCCATTGGTGTTCCAGAGCCTTAATCAGTTTTTGTGGACTCTCATGGAACTGGAAAGATTCCTGACAAGGAAATTCTAAAAATTGTGATGGAGAACTTTGACTTCAGGCCTGGAATGATCACCATTAAGCTGGATCTCAAGAGAGGTGGCAATGGTAGGTTTTTGAAGACAGCTGCATACGGGCACTTTGGAAGAGATGACCCTGACTTCACCTGGGAGGTCGTGAAGCCCCTTAAATGGGAGAAAGCTGAAGCGTAAAAATAATCGATCTAGTGCTTGGTTGATGTTTACTAGAAGTGGATGAATAATTTACATGCTTTAATTTTTCTGCTTTATATTTGGAAGAACCACGTGTTTGAAATTAGTTTCTAACTGGGTTTATATTTGTTACTTCTTTGTAATTCAATCAACTGTTATTTGCCAGTTAGTTTTCCTTAAAAAAATTAAATTAATGCAAATTTCTTTCCCAGTGAATACACGAATGCACACAAATTGAACGCTACTGTTAGGAGTGAGTGATGTAAGGTGAGATTGAGTGGTTGCATCTGTATGATTATTAAAGTTTATTTTGTTTTGGTTGAATCCCACAATCCTTTATTCTGAAGTGCGCAAGCTGGACAAGAGGTTTTACTCAATACCCCATTTTGAATAAAAATGGTTCTGAGTGTATGGGGACGGGGGTTGAACAATTTCCCCATGTGAAGTTGAAGGTAGTGGCTAAACATCTCCTTCATGATATTGTAATTTATGTGCAATCTTTTCTGACTCTAGTTGTAGAGTGGTTTTTATCGTGATCTCCTAATTTGTCTTGCTTGACTCTAGGCGTTATGCTTATAAGGTCTTCAACTGCTTCTTTAGTAGCTAAACCTCAATTTTGATTCACACTCACAGATCTCGATAAATTTGTGGCGTTCCTGCTCGGCTGGTACCATTTTTATTTTTATATATATATATTTTTTTTAAAAAGATCAAAGGTTGATAATATACTCGAATATATATCAATATATGGTTGGGACAAAGAATTGTAAATCCACACTCATTTAATCTGTTGGTGGCCACTGGCCAACAGTTATTTTGCCGCCTGCAGTGTGTAGCATCTCAATTGTTGGTTAGACTATTGAGAAAATTGCTCAATAGTCAAATTATATCATTTACTGCAACCTCGTGTTCACTAGATCTCAAACATGTATAGTGGGTTCAATTTCTTCTGGAATAAGAGCAAAACATGTTTGAGGAGACTAAGGGGGGTGTATTCAATTGAGATATTTAATGACTTTTGAAATTTAAAAAGTTTGGGAGAATATTCAATTGAGACTTTTTGAAATTCTCTAAAAATATTGATGTACTCAATTGAAACTTTTAAGAAGCCTCTAAAAGTTACGGTGTATTCAATTGAAATTTTTATAAACTTTTATATAGTCTCTAAAAGTTACGGTGTATTCAATTAAAACTTTTTAGAAGTCTCTATAAGTTTTGGAGTATTCAAATTTTAATGATTTCTAGAGATTTCTATAAAAATCTGCGGAGTACTAACTTTTAAGCAGAAAGTACTTATATAAAATTTTAAAATTTTGTTTCTCATTAATCACGAGATTTTGGGGGACTTTAAATAAAAAATCATATATTATATTTTTTCTTTCTTTTATTGTTTATCTCTATTTTCCATAAAAAATTAAATTGGATTTTTATAAGTTTTTTTTTTCTTTTTTCATTCATTTTTTTTTTTGAAAAACATCTATTTTTTTTATTAAATTATAAAATTTTACATGAATTTTTTAATTAAATTTAAATATATTAATATTTATTTATTTTTAAAAGTACATTATATTAATAATATTGAATATTAAATTTATTGTTTATTATATATGTATAATTTTGATTATTATTCATTTAATTAAGGTCTTAAATTTTTATTCTTTAAATTTTTTTTATTATTATATGTGAAGGAGGGGATGGAAAAGGAAAATTATATCTCATATGTGAAAATTTTATATTATTGTATTAGATCCAAATGAATTCTATTTCAAATGAAAGTTTTCAAAAGTCTTTCAAATATTAAAGTCTATAAAAACCTTTAAATGAAAGTCCATAAAAGCTTACCAAAGACTTCCACTAATTTTATACAAATTTATAAAAGATCAATGAAATCCACACACTCTCAAAAGCACAACTTACATAGGAATGACAATGGTTCGGTTTCGATTCGGTTCGGCCAAAATTATCATTGAACCGTCAAATTTTTTGTCATACCCTAACTGCACCATAATCACGTAAATCGCTTCGGTTCGTATTTCGGTTCAACTCAGTTCGGTTCGATTAATAACCTCAAAAATAAATTATTTTTTATAGGTTCATCTGTCAAATTAATATAAAACAATTTATAAAAAGAAAGTGAATGAAAACAAAAATACAATATTCCAAACGAAAATGCAAATATTATTCCAAATTCCAATTGTAAAATACAAATTTAACAAATAATATTATGAATATAACAATACTAAACTTTTCTTTCATTCTTAATTCTTGTGCATTGTAGTTACTTGATTCATACTCAATAATTCAAAATTTTCAACTTTAACTCATATTCAATCTTCATTATTCCCCACAATTCTTACTAACATAGGTCAACACTCAAAATTGTTTCATATATAGTAAATAAGAAATGTAAGTAAAGAATACAACGATACTACCTAATCCAGAATGATTTTAACTAAGATTTAAATAAAAAAAGTACCTCTTCGTCACTTCCTCCTCAGTAAATCTTGCCATCCCTAATAAAAGAACTTTTTTTTAAGCAAGTAATCGGTTCGATTTCGATTTGACGGCAAAAATACCATATCCGCACCGTCACAAATCGATTTATTAAAATCAAATACCATATTCGCCCCACTGCACCATCGATTCAATTTTTTCGTCCCATTTGATTCGATTAATCGCAATTTGTACCTCTTCGTCACTTCCTCCTCAGTAAATCTTGCCATCCCTAATAAAAGAACTTTTTTTTAAGCAAGTAATCGGTTCGATTTCGATTTGACGGCAAAAATACCATATCCGCACCGTCACAAATCGGTTTATTAAAATCAAATACCATATTCGCCCCACTGCACCATCGATTCAATTTTTTCGTCCCATTTGATTCGATTAATCGCAATTTTTGATCTTAACAGTTCAAATCGCCATTTTACTAGCTGAAATGGCCATTTTAGTAGTACGTAAAGCCCATTTTTTATACCCGCCCGAAGAGTATTACATTCGAATCCAAAGGAGTGGGGAACACAGCAAAAACCACGCATCCTCTTCCCTCGAGACCAGACTCTCTATCCTAATAATTGGCATTGATGCGGTCGCTATTGGGGGATTTGCAGAGGACGGTAGACAGGGCGGAGCCGCAGTATACGACGGCCAAGACGTCAGTGTGGTGGGACATAGAGAACTGCCAAGTGCCCAGGGGATGCGACCCTTACGCCATTGCGCAGAACATAAGTTCAGCGTTGGTCAACAAGAATTACTGCGGACCTGTTTCCATCTCCGCCTATGGTGACACCACCCGAATCCCCACTTCTGTTCAACAAGCACTCTCCAGTACCGGCATTGCCCTCAACCACGTCCCTGCTGGTATACATATACATCATTTCCCTTTTCCTGTTTTCTTTCTCCATACGATATAATATAAGTCTGTGTATAATGGTATAATTATAAGCTTCATTATTCTGTTTTATGGCGTTTATGATGATTTAATCATGTTAAGGAATTTCTTTGCGGATTTATTTTTATTTGAATATCTCTATTGACGACAAATGCTGATATGGATCCATTGAGCGATAAGTATGAGTTTTATGATTTAATCTTTTAAATTTTAGAGACTTTAATTCAATGGGATTGAAAATAATTTCTATTGGGGGAAATATTTTAGGTTTCTGATTTGGTTATTAGTGAATCAAATGTTCTGCAGTGGAAACTAATGCTTGTGATGAAGAAAGAATTTGGATAGTTTTTACTGGCTGATGCAAGAGTGTGTATGATGAACAGGGGTTAAATATGCAAGTGACAAGAAGATATTAGTTGATATGTTGTTCTGGGCAGTGGACAATCCTGCCCCAGCTAATTATTTACTAATATCGGGAGATGGGGATTTTTCAAATGCGCTGCATCAATTAAGTATGCGAAGGTATAATATCCTTCTGGTACAACCTCTTAAAGCATCTGTGGCTCTTGTTTCAGCAGCAAAGTGTGTCTGGGATTGGATGTCTCTTGTGTATGGTGAATTCCCTTTCAGAAGCAGGGAACATTCTGCTGATACCAATGCTTCTCGCTATGAAATCATGCGGACTTCAGTTAGTGGCAACATTCCTAGGAAAAACCTTGCTTATACCAATGCCGGTAGTCTTTCATTGGGAGGTCAGAAGTTCTCTAGTTCTGGAAGAATTACTGATAACTTTAAAATGGTGTATGTTCCAAAAAAGTTGAATCAGCCCAACATTACAAGACCATCAAGTTTGCCTGTCAGGAATCAGGAAAGTAAAGATAGACAGGATTCCCATCAACCAGTCGCACTGGAAAAACTGTTCAAGACAGCTCCGCATGAATTCTTTCTCAATTATGTTGCTTCAAGTACATCTACTCCTAATTTGTTTCCTGGAAATCTTGATCCCTTAGCTAGCGATTCCAGTGATCATAAGCCAAGTTTGTGTTATCAGTTAATACACCCTAAACCTGCTTTTGTCCCAGATAAATTGTTTTCATCAAATTCTCATTCCAGTACATCCCAATCAGTTTCTTTAAGATCAGATGATACTGCGGTTTCTACTCTACTGTTTGCAAAACGGACAGAAATTGGCAGGCTTAGCATAGCTGATTATCCCAAAATTTTACAGAGCGAACCTACCGTGGACCAATATAATATAGAATCTAGAAATACATCATTGGCATTGTTGAACCGCAATAATGTTCATACGTACGATTGTAAGCCCATGAGCAAGTTGATTTTCTGTGACAATCAAAATTTACTCTCTCTTCATTCTGATAATCCTTTTCCTTCTCACTCCTCAGTGGAAGCCAAGAATATGCCTGGTAATGGAGTTTGGGGAAGTCAAGGACTCCAGTCACCTTCTGAAGATGTTCAAGGCTTTGTAGATGTTGTCTTTCATGCTTTGAATACACTGAAAATTGAGAAGATTGTGCCTACAGAAGCAAACATAATTGATTGCATTTGTTATGGTAATCCGAAATACCGCAATACTGATGTGAAAATGGCTTTGAATTATGCACTTGAGCAACAACTGATTATCAAACAACATTTGGGTGAGCTGGAGCTTTATCTTCCTAGGAATGAGAGACTATGGTCGTGCGAGAACCCGCTTGGCTGTAATATTGAGAAGTACTCAGAAGCAACTTGGGTTGCAATTCAGAAATTCATAACTTCCTCCACTGGGAGTATGGCAATGATTGCATCTGAATGCAGGTAATATTTATCTAATGTATTTTGGTTTTACCGTTTGCTGAAATTCAAGTTCGTATATTCTTTTACATTATTGGATCAATTATATAGGTACGAAGCAGCATTACTTCTTAAAAATTCATGTTTAAAAGCATTTTCTTTGGGAGAGGTAATTCAGATGTTGAACATGATAATAACCATGAAGAGATGGATCAGACATGCACATGTGGGATGGCAACCTATTACAATTACTCTTGGAGAAGCCAACAATGATACTGATAACGGTATTTGATTTGGTCAACTAGCTATTGTGGTACCTGGGGCGAAAAAGGATTATCCATGTAACAGGAAAGGAAAGTATTAACCAATGTATTAGAAATGGTACCTTGGGACAGATGTAAAGCCAAAATGTGACTCGGTCATTGGTCTTTTGGCTACTTTTTCCAAACTTTTCAATATGAAGTGATTCTCTATATTTTTCTCCTTTCATCCTTCTAGGCAGGGTGACAATTTTTGGGACTCAAGAGTAAAACAGTGCATACATTTAGTTATGTATACTGTTGATCTCAAAAAATGTACTTTCAATGTGGCCAACAGATTTTAAGACCTCTTACGTCTACATAAGTCGTGTTCCTACACACTAGGACAAACTGTTAGCCACACGTGGCCGCCTCCAATGGGGGTAGAGTTGGTCACGTGCACTCCGACGATCAAGTCAGTAGGAGAAGTAAATATATAAGTGTAGGAAGGCTTTAAACGTGAGCCCCCAATGTAAAAAAAGGGTCGGTTTTTGGAATAATGAATAAGAGAATAATGTGGCGAAGTTATAGTTTGTGAGTCCAAACTTACATTACCTTTGGAATGGCACTAAATGTGAGCTTATATAGTAGAAGAGGGTAAGTAAGAGCCGTTGGATGAGGAGACATGTTGCCTCATCCTGATGGTTGGGGCCTCTTGGAATAGGCATCAATTGGCTGGACCTAGGTTTAAGTGCATTTATTGTTATGATCATTTGCAGTTCTAAGCCTGACATGCGAGACTAGACTTAATTTGTTAATTGAGTGGAGCCGACTATTCAGTGAGTTCTCACATCTCCCATTTATTGCTAAGATCTTGTATGAAGATCCTTTAAGTTGCCTTTACCATTTCATCTCATCCACAAGGGCTGGGCTCCGCATTTGAGTTTGGCTAATAAGGGCTTAGCTATATCTCCATGTGTGTAGAATGATGGGAAACATGGGCCTAGGGTGTTGTGCTGTGCGACTGCCACTTGGCAATACTTAGAGCCTTGTTGGAAGAGACGTAACATATACGTTACTCTTAATGAATAGTGTAATTTCTATATGCTCCGATAAGTAGCTTCCAAATCTTTGGTCAAGATCATAGAAGTGGTTTGCACTTGTCATGGATGTCAAAACTTCGTAATGACTAGTTGTATTGTTGTATTAAGACTAGAATAGGTATTCAATTAGCATAGTGCCGATGAAGTATTCTACTTATCTACAAATTGATACTATAACACAGTATGGTTTCCAGCTTTTACATATTAAAACTCAGAAAGTTCACACATACTTTATGGCGACTAATGGGGGTAAAGACATAACATCTCTGCTTTATCTGAGATATTAATTTTTTTAGGAGGGATCTTTAAGTACAAGAATGGTAGCGTAAAATCTTCGATACAGTGGCAGATCCAGCCTTAAGTTTGGACACGAGCTACAATACAAATATACATGGATTTATTTTAATAATTAAAAAAAAAACCCTAAGAATAAAGTGGACATTTGCAAGGGCGGATACGAGCTATAGTCCAGTCGAGCCCGTGCTTGTATTCGCCCATGCTTCGATATTTGAGTACTATATAATCTCAGATAATTGATATTATCACTATAAAACTCATGAATGTAATCATGTATTGTTAAAGTTGGATAATCTCTCTCTCTCTCTCTCTCTCTCTCTCTCTCTCTCTCTCGTTTTAGTGTGTTGTCAATTAGTTGGTTTGGAAATTAAACCTTCTCTTGCATTAGTTTTGAGATTGAACTTTACTCTTGTCAACATGCAACAAATGTGACTTGCACGCTCTAAGCTCTAATTTGGCAGTGCAGCACAATGTTCCACAACTAGTTCCTAATAAATATCCTACTTCGGATATGTTGAGAATGACTGAAATTTTTTCTCTGAACATGTTGACAATTGTATTGAAGTACCTCTTTTAGTGATACTATCCGTCTCATTGCTCAAATCTAGATGAATCACTTGTTCCGTATAGAATCAACTCTTTCATTGTGTCAAGAGACTACCATACATGAGCACAATCACTTTTTGAGAGCTAATCAAGGATAATTCCAGCTATTGCATTTAACTGACGCCCACGCTATCTTTCAATTTCAAATTGAGAAATTCATTTTGTGCATTTATATGGTTAAGTTAGATGTCTAAAACTAATACCACTTGTTGGAAATTGAAGTTTTTCTATTAGGAATGATAATCTTAATTTCTTTAGAAAACTCATTATTTATCTCATATTTAACCTATGTAAAATTTTATTATGTTCGATCACTTGCACCCACTCAACTCAATGATTTAAACCCATATAGTTTTCAAGTATGTTTAATTAATCTTAACATTATTAAGAGCCTAATTTGTTATTATTTATTAAACACTACTTAACCTACTAGTTGTTTGAATAATATGTCAATAACCACCATTGTTTTGTGGAATCAATTTTTATTTTATTTTTAAATGCACTCTTCCTAATGAAGTATTAATTTATAATCCTTTAGTTTCATAAAGATATGCTTGTTTTCCTTTTTCACAAATCCAATTTATAGGTCACTTTCCTTGTTGAGAATGTAATTTATTTTTTTAATTTTATAATATGTCCCAATTTAATGTGCTTTGTTATAAACAAAAATGAATTACTCATATTTAAACATTATTTAATGTAAATGTATATTATAAAAATTTTAAGAAAATTTATATATTAATTATATTTTCTTGATCTACGTTCAAATCGAAGCAATATTTTTTTTGGGACAGGGAGAGTATTTGGTAGGCAAGAATCTTTATAGTAGTTAGTAGACATTAGACTTTCTCTAAATGTCTACTTTCTCTAATTTGGATATGTATTCTCGATTGGCCGATCTCAATACTTTGTTCAACTTGTCTACATGGTTACACATTCAACATAAACATATGTACCATAAATATTAAAATAAAAATCAATCATAAAATTAAATTGTTGGAAACTTTATTGGGACATTTTAATTTCTATTTTTATTTATGTATAACTCAATTGAATTATATGACAACTTGTACCAATCGGACCACCATTTATCAATAACCTACAGAAGTAATAAAGTCTGAGATAGGCATTGACATCTGACCTTCTCTCTCTCTCTCTCTTCTTTTTTTTTTTTTTTTTTTTTTTTTTAATTTTGGATAATTCATAATTGTATGATGGAACTTCGGCAAAACTGTGATTACATCTCCCTCTACATTCATATGTAAGAGAAAATTAAAGAGTAAATTTCATATTTAGGCCCTGTTTGAGCTATGTTTTTTCAAAAAATATATATTCTCAAATATTATTTTAACCACACATTCTTCAATAAAATATTATTACACGTAAATAAAAAAAATTTCTTTATTTTTTAATCATTCATTTTCCATCAATATATTATTCAAAAATGCATTCTTATGAAAGTAATGTGACTCAAACAAGGACTTAGTCTTCAACCTTTGCTCAAAATTGCAATCTTGCTCACAACCTTTTTTGGTGTCACGAACCTTCATAAATTAATATAGTTAGACACTAAATATGATTTTTGTCCAAAAAGCTTGTTAAAATGATATTAAGAGACAATCTTATTCTTGCACATTATTTTAGATAAATAAATTCAAAAAGAGAAAAATGAAATAAAGAAAAAAAGTCAATCTTATTCTTTGATATGCAATTTACCCAAAAAAATAATTTAAAAAAAGTTGTGGAACTAAAAAAAAGATCAGTACCCTTCTTAAAAAAAAAAAAAAAGGGTTGGGGATTAAATATAAAATTTAACAAAAATTAAAAGCATTGTTGGTTGGTTTTCAGATTAATTACTCCAATTGTAGAGAACAAAAATGATTAAGTTGGCAAGCTTACATATCCCTGCAGATTTGGTAGCTGGAAGAGATGTGATGATTCGGGTCAACCCTTCAATTAATAATGAAATTATTTCATATGAATTATAAAGGTACATTTGGGGACATTATATCTACTTCCAAAATTAACTACAATTTATTGTTTGCTTGTGTAAAATGAATTATTTGTGTAAAATAAATTTTCAAATAATTTATATGCTGGTCTTTATCTCTTTACGTGTAGTAGGTGAGCTCCAAATGAAGAAAATTAAAGAACATAAGTTAGAAAACTATTTTATTTATTATATTAAAGATAGTAGGGAAGGAAATGAGAAATGTCTACAAGTCATTGAACTTTTTAAGTGTCGATAGAAAATTGGTTTCATTCTCATCTTGGGTACAATGAAGAAGAAACGAAAAGCAAATGGCTGTTCAAGAAATTTTTTCGGTTGTTCATTATGACATATCTCTATTATGTACTAAATGGCACAAGGATTATTCATTTTCCAATTTCCCATTATTCATTTCTTTCTATCCTTTTTCCACTGCGTACCAAATGTATCCCCTCGGTTCAACTTTTATGGTCACACATTAATTAATATTATATAGATAAATGATTGATTTTGTGAGTTTCATCAACGCAAACATGTATTATATATTAGATTTTTCCTTCCAATATTCTTCAAACGTTGATCACTGTACAATTCATCTCCATACCTAATATTCCCTTGTAGTCAATAACCGACCGTTTACACGAATATGTTTCGAGTATTGAGCATATTTATTATACATATTAGTCCCATTTTGTACGCAACACACCACACGAGAATAATTTTATCACCCTTATGCAAACATTGGTTAGATAATATATTTGGGAAAAATTAGTCTCAATGCACAACGAATGTGGCAAATTACTGCTCAAAGGAGCAGTAATAAGTAGGGATGATAGGATTTGAACCCGTGACATTTTGTACCCAAAACAAATGCGCTACCAAGCTGCGCCACATCCTTTCAATTGTTCTACAGTGTCATTGTAAAGAATTCCTGTCTTGTTTTCCACATCCTTAGTTGTTCCATTGATATACACAATTTTTCTGGCAAATTACTGCTCAAAGGAGCAGTAATAGGTAGGGATGATTGGATTTGAACCCGTGACATTTTGTACCCAAAACAAATGCGCTACCAAGCTGCGCCACATCCCTTCAATTGTTCTACAGTGTCATTGTAGAGAATTCCTGTCTTGTTTTTCACATCCTTGGTTGTTCCATTGATATACACAATTTTTTTGCCCATTTCGTATTTTTGGTTTCATTTAACATATAATAATAAGAAAAGTAAAAAACTTATTATATATATACGAAATGGGC